TTTGACAGAGACACAGCAAGAGAGGGAACACAAGCAGGGGGAGTGGGAGAGGGAGAAGCAGGCTTCCCACTGAGCAGGGAGCCCGATGCAGGGCTTGATCCCAGGACCCTGGGCTCATGACCTGAGCTGAAGGCAGACGCTTAACGACTGAGCCACCCAGCCGCCCCATTAGTCTTAGTCGTTTTAAAATTTGTTTGGTATTTCCAGCATCTGGGTCATGTCTGATTCTGGTTCAGTTGATTGCTTTATTTTTTCTCATGGGTTTTCTTTGTGTGTGTGTTTCATAATTTTAGACTGAATCCCAGACATCATGTATAGTGAAGACTGCAGTAATATTAATTCCTTGAAATGGACATGCCTTTTTGTGGCCAGTAGTGTGGCAGTGCAAATCAATCTGATCATGAATTGAGCTGGATTTAGGTTTGTTGGTTATTATGATTTTACTATTATTACTTTCATTACAGTATGGCTTTCACATTCCTCTAGAATTGGGCTGCTAATGCCTTGTGCTTATCTTCTAACATCTATAATGTTTTCAGACTTGGGTTGAAGTCTAGTTTTTGCCTCCCCTTTGTTCCACATACGGTAGGTCCTTGAATGCTAGCGAATTATCCTCCGTGCCCTTGTTCCCCATCAGATCTTAGTTCCTTGGATGGCTGTACTGCAGAAGGGGCCTCTCTCTATACACTTGCCCTCCCTCCAGTGGTAGGCAGCTATCACTTCTTGTTGACTGTTAAACTTGTAATGGGGACACTACTGTTTTTTGTTATACTTCCTTGGTCTGTCCTTTTTTTTTTTTTTTTGTAGAGAGGGAGAGAGAAAGAGACAAGACAGAGTTCTTGGCCTGTCTTAAGCACGTTCAGCCTCATATCTGTGGTTGGCCTTGGGCAGCATTTTCCTGCCCCTTCTCAAGTGGGAAAAGACCGCTGCTTGTTAAAGGAGCCAGCCAGACCATGGGCCCAAGAAGGTTTTATGCCCCTCCCTAATCAGTAGAGATTTTTTCTTCTATCCTTCCTTGTATAACAATGATCTTTGCATATATCATAGGGGCCAGAAGGGTTTCTTAATCCTCCCCCAGAGCCAGATTGGTTTTGCTTCTATTCCTCTCCTTCACGCTGTGTACCTTTGCCTGGTCTCTATGGGCTCCCTCCTTAAGCAGCTTAAAGCTTTTGCCTTGTAAGAGAAAAAGGTGCATGAATGGGCAGGGCTCAGTGCCTACCCTATAGCAGCCATAGCTCACCTCATTCTCTCCTGTACTGCAAAAGAGTGTCTTCTTCCCAGACTTTCTTATAGCATCCAGTGGAAGCTGAAGGGAAGAGCTTACCCATAAGTGCAATTTGCCCTTGTGTCTTGGGCACCCAGCTTTCCAAAGTGATACATTAGCCCACACTAGGCCTCTAGCATTGTTTTTTAAAAAGATTTTATTTATTTATTTGAGAGGGAGAGAATGAGAGATACAGAGCACGAGAGGGAAGAGGGTCAGAGGGAGAAGCAGACTCCCTGCTGAGCAGGGAGCCCGATGACTCGATCCCGGGACTCCAGGATCATGACCTGAGCTGAAGGCAGTCACTAAACCAACTGAGCCACCCAGGCACCCTAGGCCTCTAACATTTTGTTAAAATTTTGGCTCACCTCTTCATGTCCACAACTTCTACTGGTACCCTGCTTTTTTGGCACAAATAATTTGTTGTCTTGTCTCTCCTTGGAGGACATTGTCCTTCTTCCCAAATAAAAGAATTCAGATTATTTTGCTTCCTTGTGACCCTTAGGTCTCTGAAAGAATCAAGGAGAGTTATCCTTTTATAGATTATCTGGGTTTTTTCTTGTCAGTGTAAGAGTGACATTCATTGCAGGTGTCTGTATCCTAAATGGAAGTGGGATCTCTAAGAAGCCATGTATTTTTAAGGCTCCTCAGATGCTTCTAATGAACAAAAGGATTGAGGAATACTTCTAAGAGAAAGGATTTTTTAGGAAGTAAATCTGCTTTATAGAACTTCTGTTGGTGTGTTATTAGAATTCTAAAACCAAAGCCTAATAGAGTCTTCCATGATCTTCGAAATAGAACATTGAAAGATTTAGAATAGAGGCTAAAAGATAGTATATAGGTTTCTTGCTCCCCTCAGCGAGTTTTGGAATTTTTCTGATCTTGACTACAAATTCTACCTTCCACTATTCATGGTTGGCCTAATTATTATCAGAAGGAAAGATATTTACCTGATGGTTTTTACATAAAGAATTGGAGGTGGTTGTGTGATTTCCAGGTATCATTTGTTGACTGAAATTCTGGTTCACTTCAGTCTCCAGTCAGGATCCTCAGTTACTCTGGACAATGGAAGCCTTTTAGCAATCAAAAAGAGAATCTATAACCATGCATACATTTTCTTGTTGGCAGAATCGCATTGCAAAGCGCAGCAGGAAGCTGGTGGACTATGACAGTGCTCGCCATCATCTGGAAGCTTTGCAGAGCTCCAAGAGGAAGGATGAAAGTCGAATCTCTAAGGTAAGGACTGATCCCATTGTTGACACCACTCTCCATATTCTATGATCTATAACAATATTGCTTTTTAAAATTAAATACAAGCATAACTCAGAGATATTGTGGGTTCAGTTCCCAACCATGGCAATAAAACAAATATTTTAATAAAGCCATTCAAATGAATTTTTTAGTTTCCCAGTGTATGCAAAAGTTATGTTTACACTATACCATAGTCTCTTAAGTGTGCAATAGCATTATGTTTAAAAACACAACATGCATACCTTAATTAAAAACACTTTATTTCTAGAAAATGCTATTATCAGTGCTTTCAGCAAATCATAATCACTAATCACAGATTATAACAAATATGATAATGAAAACGCTCAAATATTGCAAGAATTATATGAATGTGACCCAGAGACATGAAGTGAGCAAATGCTGCTGGAAAAATGTTACTTACAGGCTTACTTGATGCAGGGTTGCCCCAAACCTCAATTTGTAAAAAAATATAGTGTCTGCAAAGCCCAGTGAAGTAAAGCACAGCAAAACAAGGTATACCTGTTATTTCCTTTAAGGAGGTTGGAATTAGGACAGAATTTAAACTGAAACATGGTACTTGTGGGCTGCTTTCCTAAATTTTTAATAAGGTTTTTCATGTGATTATAGAGTTCACGTGGCTGACACTGACTCACACATTTTGGTCAGAGTAAACCTTGGCCCCCGACAATACTGAAGGGTCAGTGAAAGTAATGTGTTTCTCCACTTTGTTCTGTGTTTGGGGTCCATATTTGAAGCTAAAAGGCAGATTCAGATAGAAAACAAATTTGAAATACTAAGACATAACCTGTGGTTGCCAGAGAGTGCAGACATGTGCTGGATTTGTAGAACATTCGTTTTCTTTTAGAAAACCCGTTTTACTATGTGTGCCAGGCACTTACAGATGCCATCTGACACCTGCTAACTATTCCCTTTGCTTCCAGTCTTGCCTCCTCCTATCTGCCTACACACAGCTGTCTGAATAGTCTTTCTACATCACATATCTAGATAGTTTCTCCACTGCTTGTCTTTTAGTGGCTCGCATCGCCTATAGAAAACAAATCTCAATTTCTCAGCATGCACATAAGACCCGCACAACTTGGTTATGACTCACCTGTTCATCCTAATCAACTTTTGAATCTTCTTTCTCCTCTGCTCCTTCTTTCATATGCACATCCTAAACTAGAGCTTCGTGGCCCACACAGCAGTTCCCGAGCAGCCACGATTAGAGCTGCCCGTCATGTAAGACACCATAGGTGCCAGGCACCATGCTCAGCTATGCCATCATTTCTTAATACTTACAATACCTGTGAAAGTAGGCATTAGTGTCTTGTTTTTATCAGTGAGGTATTGGAGATGAAGAAAGTTAAAACCATCTCACAAGTTGACACAATCAGTAAGCTAGAATTCTAACCCAGGGAACACCATCTTTTTGTGTTGTAGTACCTCTCCACCTGCTTCTTCAGTGAACCTTTGCTGATTCTTTAAGATTCCTTTAGAATGTCACTTTCCCCATGGAACCTTCTCTGTTTCTCTACCATCTTCCCCAATAGCATGCGCCACAACAGTTTGTAAGTGCTAGTTTGTAGTGTAATTATTTAGACTTCTGACTAGACATGGGGAATTTCTTTGGGAAGCATCCATGCAGAGCAGAGCAGTGTATGGGACAGGCAGTTAACACGTTTTTGTTGCCAGAATCTGCCAGACTACAAAAGCAACCATTGTAATCAAGCCAGTTTTCGTGTCTTAATAAGACTTAATATTTCACTGTTATTGGAAAAAATTATGTGGATTTTATTTGTTTTTTGGTTTGTTTGTTTTTGAGAGAGAGTGTGTGTGTGCATTTGAGAAGAGGAGGGGTGGAGGGAGAGAGAGACTCTTAAGGGGCTCAAACTTTACTACCCTGAGATCATGACTTAAGCTGAAATCAAGAGTCAGATGCTTGACCAACTGAACCATCAAGGCACCCCCCCACCAAAATTATGTGGATTTTTAACCAGACAAATTTCTGTCCTCAAAATGTTTCTTGGATGCAATAAAGCTATTTTATGTTAAATGCTGTTGTTGTATATAGAAATGGCTTGTGTTTCGATGATATTTTTTAGCATAAACACTTGTTATGTGTCATTTCTAGGCAGAAGAGGAATTTCAGAAAGCACAAAAAGTGTTTGAAGAGTTTAACGTTGACTTACAAGAGGAGTTACCATCGTTATGGTCAAGGTAAAGTTGTTTCTGTACAGAAAATCAAGAACAGGGATATCTCTTCTCTTGTCTTTATTGCCATTAATGCTAAAGCACCATCCAAGAGAAGTGTTCCATTTCTGTGCTTTTCAGCATGGTGGCCATATACCACATGTGGTAGGCTGTTACACACTTGGACTATGGCTAGTATGGTGGAGGAACTGAATTTTAGATTTAATTTCTTTTGTTTGGATTCATTTGAATTTAAATAACAACATGGGGCTGGCAACTATTATACTGATGGCAGAGTTTTAGACCTTGATCTATTTCTCAAGTGGAGCTCCAGATCTCAATCACAGGCATGGGGAGAAGTGCCCTTAACTTTGAAATTCACAAGAATACCTTTTAGCTCTTGGCAGGACTCCATTTATTCTGAGAGGTTATCTAGTCTTCCAGGTTTGATGCCAAACTTCTGCTTTCAGCTCTCACCTTTTAACCTGAACTTCATTCCCATTTGAAGTGCTAAATATTCTTCTTCTTATGGGTACTCTGCATTTCCTGTGGCGTTAAGAGCATTGTCCATCCTTTGTCTTATTTTTCCCACTCAATGGTAGAACCAAGAAGTTGTTGGATGAAGTGGGTCCTTATGTCTCTCAATTTCCATCAGCGCCTCATGCTCCCACACCAAATAAACAGAATTGTGTTCACTGTGCAACCCTGCTTTAAGTTAAGACAAATCCTCTAGCCCAGCTTCCAACCAGATTGGCATCCCCTAAAACCTTCCTCCATGGAAATTCTGGATTTTCTACTTATCCTCTAAAATTGTGAGCATTTTGAGGGTCTAGAGTGCAGTTTGTCCAAAAAATTGAGTTTGCCTCAATTTTTTGCCTAGAGTAGGCACTCCATGTTTATTTTTGAACTACTGAAATATCTAGAGGAAATTTTGGCTAGTTCACAATTAAATCAGCCTGTAGGGCATGTCCACTTCAATATCCAGCCATAACCCAAAGTTTAACATGGGTGAAATTAACTCATCGCTCATCTGAATTTACTCATTCTTTCAACATCTGCATTTCACTTTGTGGTACTATCATTCTTGGGCTCCCAGGCTGCAAACTGTGGAGTCAGTAACTATAGAAAACCAGAGGACCATCAGAGCAATCAATCCATCCTTTTTCTCTGTGGTCTTCTGGATTGGTCTCTCTCTCCTTATTCTCACTGCCCCCACATTTACCCTCACTATCCCCCTGTGAGTTATGGTGGTGGTCTTGCTCTCACATTTGTGTCTTTGACCTCATCCTGTACACCTCTTCATTCAGAAGCTCTGCCTTGACAAATCTCCGTGGTCTGCAGAGGAACCTACTGTGTGTGCCCAAAGAAGAGGATTTTGAGCAGCCTGAATATATAAAACTTCTAGGGATACAGATGAGACAAATCTATTCATAATTTTAATTGAGTTATTTATGCCTATTTAAAATCAAGAATTATATGAAATTATGTTTTTTAAGAAAATTATTATATACTCATATGTCAAGAAATACTTATATCCAAAATCTTTATATCCATCTTTGTCCTCCATGTCTTCATCCTCATTAAGGACACTCATCAAGTCAGCTGGTAGTTCTCCAGAGCTTCTCATCTTCCTCAACAGATATCCCATCCCAAACAAGTTGTCATTTGCATACAATTTGGACAGTTACCCTGTTCATTTCCCCTCTAAAGGAATTTTTGTGGTCTCAAATATAATTACTTACTCAGTTGCTTTTTAAACTGATCTTTGCAAGAGCTAAGGTACCACAATGCTCAACACTTCCAATTATGAGATAATACTCCTGGGAAAATAGCCAAAACTGCCAAAAGACAGTTATTACTTGCCTTAATATGTGTTGGGTATGTAACAAATTTCTTTTTCCTCATGTCCTCTGTAAGCATTCAAAACCAGCATTGACTGATGTTGTTCAGGCTTATGTGTCTTCCCCCATAGTATTTGGTCATTCAGTATAAGTAACTGTCAGAGTATCTTGTAATATGAAGACTTTATAGGAACTTAAACACAATGGGAATATTTGAAGGACAAAGTTTGGAGGGAAAACTTTCCCCTTATCTGGCCAAATGCAATCTCAATACTTCAGTGCTTTTTAATCCACTGTGACTTCTTCCCACACTCAAGGCTTACCCCTTTGTATGTCAATTAGGTCATACTGACGAAAACCTAGTTTTAGGCCTTTTAAAAATTTTTTCATTTTATTTAAATTTAATTAACATGTAGTATATTATTAGTTTCAGGGGTAGAGTTCAGTGATTCATCAGTTGCATATAACACCCAGTGCTCATTACATCACGTGCCCTCCTTCATACCCATCACCCAGTTACCCCATTACCCCTCCCCCCTCCCCTCCAGCAACCCTCAGTTTGTTTCCTAGAGTTAAGAGTCTCTTATGGTTTGTTTCCCTCTCTGATTTTGTCTTATTTTATTTTTCCCTCCCTTCCCCTATGACCCTCTGTTTTGCTTCTTAAATTCTGCATATGAGTGAAATCTTTTTCTGACTTATTTCACTTAGCATAATACCCTCTAGCTCTGTCCACATCATTGCAAATGGTGAAATTTCAGTTTTTTGATGGCTTTGTAATATTCCATTTTGTGTATGTATGTGTATATATATATATATATATATACACACACATATATATACACACACACATACACACCACATCTTCTTTATCCATTCATCTGTTGATGGACATCTGGGCTCTTTCCATAGTTTGACTATTGTGGACATTGCTGCTAGAAACATTGGGATGCAGGTGTCCCTTTGGATCACTATACTTGTATCTTTTGGATAAATACTTAGTAGTGCAATTGCTGGGTCATAGGGTGGCCCTATTTTCAACTTTTTGAGGAACCTCCATACTGTTTTCCAGAGTGGCTGCTCCAGCTTGCATTCCCACCAACAGTGTAGGAGGGATCCCCTCTCTCTGCATCCCCGCCAACATCTGTCGTTTCCTGATTTGTTAATTTTAGTTAGGCCTTTCTCTATATATATATATTGTGTTTTTTGACTAGACCTACATTATTCAACAGCAATAATTGTGTGTATTGTGTGTTTGTATGAGAGAAAAAGAGATAATTCATTTATTATTGAATACTCTCTATTTTCCAAGTAGCATCTTATGCACTTTACATGTGTAATCTCTAATTATCACAATTACATATACCCCCATCTTACAAATGAGGAAGCCGGGGATGATACTGGTTAAACACTTTGCTTAATATTGTAAGGTTTATAAATCCTAAAGCTGGCATTTTAACACACTTCTGTGGTACCTCCTGTAAGTCCTGATGTCTGATGCAGGACTTCTCCTTACATACAGTGAGACTGTATGCAGACTTCCATAAATAAAGATTATTTCAGAAAATCGTTTTATCAATCCATGTTTTCTTCCCAGCCATATCACTCCACCTTGAGACTGAAGTTAGTACTTTGTGTCTTCCGTGCCCCCTCCTGTCATGAGAGGAGTACTGACAGCACCAGTATTTAAGGAACGTGCCAGAAGGGGGGCCTGCAGCAGAGCCTGAGAGGAAACAATCACAGATGTAGAAGAAGACCCAGAAGAGTAGGATCTTAAGAAGCCAAGAATGGAGAGAATTTTAAAAGTGAAGGAGTGCCGGGAGAATCATTTACAAGACAGAGGTCAAGCAGAGGAGACGAAGGGTGTATTGCTTCCGGGGAGCTTCCAGCTAGGTTCCAGCTGAGGGCAGGGTCAGAAGCCTGACTGCAGGTGCTGGAGACGCTGTGGTTGATGAAGTAGGATCTTGACTATGATGGGCCTGAGGAATCATGGCAGCAGATACAGGGGGGTGAGAGGGCAAGGGAAGCCTTTTAAAATAACCATTATCATTTTGAGAAGCTGACAGTGGCAGCAGCACAGGTGGGATGATGTAGGACTGAAGATTTCTGGAGTAAGTAGAGGGTAACACCTTACCCTCTAAAGACAAGGTGTTGGTGGAGCTGGCCACCCAGTGGGTACCCAGTGTTGAGAGGCCTATGCTTGATAAAGCAAGATGCTGAGCCTGAGGGGACAGTAGCCTGGAAGAAAAGGGCCAGTGATCTCAGAGAGATTTAAAAAAATCAGCAGGTGGAATGGAAATGAATGAATGAAGGATCTTGTGGTCCAGGAAGTGAGGTTAGGGAGTAGGCCACTGAATGGTCTCATCTCGGTTGTGAGTGATGGCAAGATCCAGGATGTGCAGCAGAATGTGTGTGAGTAAACATGCTGGGGTCACGAGGTCAGTGAGTTAGGAGTTTGTGAGGTTGGACAGTCATATGGTTGTGGGGATCTGCTGTGTTCGTGTTAGGACTTGGTGAAGGGGAGAGAGGGAAATCATGAGACATGTACTGTGTGCACAGTGAACGGGGTGCGGGCCGGGAAGTTGAGAGATGAGCTGTATGGGGGCTGAATACGTGTGGCTTAAATCTCAGAGGAGGGTATGTCAGTGCGCTCAGAGGATCAGGGTTAGAGAGGAGATAGAAGAAAATTCTTCCTTTTCCCACTCCACGCCCCTGGTAAGTGAGGGATGGCAGAGGATGCTTCCTCCATTGCAAGGGGCTCAGGGGGAAACAGTGACCCCCACCCAGACCCCCACAGGCTTCCCTTACGGCATTGCCGAGGGGAGAGTGTCCTGGCCTGCACACCTTGGTGGTGATAGCTCAGTTGTTAATCCTTCCCACTGTTTCCAAGGACAAAGAACCATCTCAAAGAAATTAAGTTTGTCTTGATGGCTAACCAGAAGGGGCCTGAGGATGCCTCAGAGGAGTCCTTCAGGGAAATGGTAATGTCTCAAAGCCCCTTGTTTATGAAGAACTTGTGAAGTGAAACCTCCCGAACAGATAATATCCGTACTCACAGCCTGGTACTCTTTGTGGATGTATGTCTCACTGCCATACAGTGATGTCAGTTTTCTATAAGCCACGGTACCCATATACAGTCAGAATATGCCTTTACAGTAGAACGAGTGCACAGTCGTTTGTGCATTCATTCATTCATTCATTGAATATTTACTGCATGCCTGCTTTGACCAAGTGCTGTATTAGGTGCTAGGCCTATGGTAGTGAATGAGTCAGAGGCAGTCCCTACTTTGAAAGAGTCTCTGATTACATAAATTGAAGAAAACCATTATCTGATGAATTGCATCAAAAATGTTCAACACTTTTTCTCTAAGTTAAATATATCCTAGTTGACTTAACTTCTAAAGTAAACCATAAAAATATTACTTGATATTTGTTTAGTCATTCTAAACAAGGTATTTCTGGCACCACACCAATTATTTCTCTAAGTAATTTTTTTTTTTCTAGAGAGAGAGAGAGAATGGGAGTAGGGCGGCATGGAGGCACAGAGGGAGAGAGAGAATCTCAAGCAGACTCCCCACTGAGCGCAGAGCCTGATGCAGGGCTTGATCTCACTACCCTGAGATCACGACTTGAGCTGAAATCAAGAGTCGGATGCTTAACCCACTGAGCCACCCGGATGCCCCAATAGTAATTGATATAAACAAGATCGCTATATATCAGAAAACAAAATTTAAAGATAGAAGATTGGGAATTCTTGTTTTTGCTAAATGTGTCAAAGGATCAATAGGTTTTTTAGCAATTCCCTTACAAATAAACAATAAAAAAGCAAGCACTAAGAAATAAACACAAAATATGAATAGGTAACTCACAAAAGAAGAAATGCAAATGGCTTAATAAATAAATGAAAAAAGATCACTACATCAAAAACTAATAATGTATAGGGACTAACATAACATAATAAAATAAAATTTTAAAAAAGTATCAACCTTAATTGAATAAAAATGTAAAAGTCAGCAAGGTGTTAACTCTTGCCTATCAAATTTACAACGGTTTTGTGTAACTTCATACTGAAAGCTGAGGGAGTCTAAGGACCCAGCCCAGGTGGGAACAGCTTGGCATTGCTCATCAAAGCTTCTATGGTCTGTGCCTCTCACACAGCATTTACATTCAAGAAACTTATTCTAAGGAAAGAGTAGAGCTGTGCACCAAGTCTTAATTCATAGATCTTCATTAGGGTTTTGTTTATCATAGTAAAAAATCAGTGAAAATAAAAACAATACTCACCAATGAAGTTCAACTACACCCTACACCCCCATCTACATCCCCATCCATCTATACCCCCCATCCATCTGTACCCCCATCCATCCATACCTCCATCCATCTACACCCCCATCCCTCTACACCCCATCCATCTACACCCTCCTCCATCTACATCCCCCATCCATCTATACCCCCTGTCCATCTGTACCGCCAGGCCATCCATACCCCATCCATCTACATCCCCATCCATCTCCACCCCTCCATCCACCTACATCCCCCTCTGTCCATCTACACCCCCCCATCTAATCCCCTCCATCCACGCATCTTCTGCCTTCTATTTAAATTTGACCCTTCCTCAGGGCAGCCTAAGTTTATCCTCTCAAGCAGATGTTCTCACCTGGCACAGGGCCTGTTAATTCCCCTCTCTTCTCAGTGCCTTTAGCTGTTTTTGTCTGAATCTACTCATTTTTGATATTTCATTGTGGGTGCCCTTTTGTGGTAACTTTAACATTCACATGCTGTCTTGAAGTCGGCTTCTTCGACTTACCAGAATGACAGAGCGTGTGTTCAGGAATCTGCGCTCAGGTGCTCCTCTACCTGAACTGTCGTTCCTGGAGCCCCCAGAGCCCACCACTAGGCATGAACCCAGAGTGGATAGGCCCTTTGTTGAGTAATTGAATGAGGGGGAAGGTATGAGGAATGAGTGGTTGATGGGGGTCCCAGAGAAGGGGTCCTGGGTTGGTACTTGAAGTGCCCCAGAAAGACTTGCCTGCAAACAGGACATTGAGCTGGTCTCTCTGTGGTGTTGTCTGAGCATCTGCAGTCTCTCCTTCCACCCAGCTGCTGCTTTAGTCAGCTTCCTCCCGTGCAGGTACTCTCCGTCCCCCTCTCTCAGACAGGGCTAGGAGCTGCAAGCAACCATGGCCTGCAAATGGTCTGGAAGATCCTCGGCCCCAGAGCGCAGGTCTGCCTGCCTCACTAGGCTCTCCTCTCCCAGGCTTCTGGTCTGACCCTCCCCGAACACCCTGTGCCAGGATTTTCTTTATTAATATATGTATGTGTATCTATCTATGTATCTATAGATACATATACATAGACACACACATACACACAATGGGATATTATTCAGTCATAGGAAAGAAGGAGATTCTGCCATTTGGGATAACATGGGTGGACCTTTAGGGTATCATGCTGAGTGAGATAAACCAGACAGAAAAGGACATATATCCCACTTAATCATAATGTTTAATACCTACAGTGACCATGTGTCCCTGAATTCACCTCTTTTTTATTTTGATGTGAAATAACATACATAATGACCTATATGTTTGTGTGTGTATATACATATCCCATCTTTAAGCATTCACCAGTTGATGGACACCTGGATTGCTTTCATATCTTGGCTACTGTGAAGAATGCTGCCATGAACAAGGCAGTGCCTGCATCTCTTCGAGATCCTGTTTTCATTTCCTTCAGAAATCTGTCCAGCAGTGGGATTGCTGGATCCAGTGGTAGTTCTGTTTTTAACTTTTTGAGGAATTTTCCATAGTGGCTATACCCACTTATCTTCCCACCAACAGTGCATGGGGGTCCCTTTTCTCTACATCCTCGCCAATACTTGTTCTCTCTTGTCTTTTTGATGATAGCCATTCTAACAGGTGTGAGGAGATACTGCCTGATATCACTTATATGTGGAATCTGAAGAAAAAAAAGCAAACTCATAGAAATTGGAAGTAGAAGAGTGGTTCAGGACTAGGAGGTGGGGCAAATAGGGAGAGGTTGGTGAAAGGATACCCACAGCTGGGAGATGCATAAGGTCTGAGCAGCTAGTGTAAAACATGGTGACTGTGGTTGATAACACTATATTATATAATTGAAATTTGCTAGGAGAGTAGAAATGTTCACACACAAGATAAATGTATGAGGTGATAGCTGTGTCACCTTATAGGGAGAATCCCTCACGATTGTATATCAAGTCACCACAATGTGCAATTTTAATATCTTACATTTTGTCAGTAAAACCTCAATAAAACTGAAAAAAATGAAGGAAACACAAATAAACCCGTCCTACAAAAAGTCAAAAATGTAAGTGGAACGTGGTAGGAAATTAAGGTACAGTAATTTAAGCCACAGAAAAAGTAAAGTCTTACTGGTGGGATACACATAGTACTTTACCTATTATTTCATCTCTGAATCTCGATTTTTATCTTTTATTTTATTAAAATTCTAAATCACCTAATTTCATCAGAAAGCACAGAAATAATGATATGCATACTTAAGCAGAATTTCTTGGCTAACAGTGCATGTTTTTCTCTTGGTTTTCCTCCTTTTGGGTCCAAAGCGTCTCCACTTACTAATTGCAAGACCTTGGACAGTTAATCTCTCTGTGCCTCAGTTGACCAGAATATAAACTGAGGCTCACTACCCCGGGGGTAGTTACAAGAATTAAGTGAGGGAATATGTAAAGTGTTTAGATGGCTGCTCTTTCTATCGGCTTTAATGATGATGGAACATTCGTCCACCTCCGCTTATTGGAATCCTGCTCATCACAATGCACAGAGAAACGGGAAGCCCCCTTTTCTCTATCCTTTCATGTCATTGTTTAAAGATTTTATTCATTTATTAGAGAGAGAGAGAGCGAACAAACACGAACCAGGGGAGGGACAGAAGGAGGGATAGGGAGAGAGTCTCAAGCTGACTCCATATTGAGCACGGAACCCCATGCAGGGCTTGATCCCATGACCCTGAGATCGTAACTTGAGCCAAAATCAAGGATCAGACATTTAACTGTCATTACCATTGTCATCCAGGCACCCCTCATGTCATTGTGTAAATAAGAGGGGTCCTACTGTGTACAGGCACATTCTTACTGCCCCAAAATAAATATTCTTATTACAACCCCCTCACCCCCTGAGTATATGTTTATTCCATATATGCAGCCTATCTAATGTTTCTGGCACCTAAGTCCTTACTTGGGATTTGGAATCAAATGAACCAATCAGGATTCTGGAGTTATTTTTGAGAATGTTATTGAAACAAGAACATGAATTAAATCAAAGTAGTAATTTACTAGATGGATTCAGAAGGGTTGAATTAATAGAGTCCAAAGGGCCTCATTTAGAGAAAAGGGAGCCTATACAGGAGGTACCAGGCTGAATCCACAGTGCTGTTGGGTGTGCTTACTATTAGGGACCTAAAACTCTCCCATCCCAGAACACCCTCACCCCATGGTTTTGCTTCACAGATATGTTCATGATATTATGAATGGACAGCTTGTGTTTCTATTTGCTCAGTGAAAGCACTTTTACTTTAGCTGAGGAACTGTAATGAACTGGTAGTTTTCTGTTTCCCCCTATCAAACATATTTCAGAATCCAAAATGAGACCACACACAGGGTATAAAAATTAATGGTGAACTTCTCTATTTCCAGCCCTTTACAAGACATACCTCTAAAATAAAAACTCACTCAGGGCCACGCTTCCGAAAGCGTTCTCTCTGCACCAGCGTCAGTGTCACCTAGAGCTTATGAGAAATGCAAATCCTCTGTCCCCACCTGACACCTGGTGAATCAGAAACACACCTCCCAGCTGCGCACCACTGTCTCTGGGCGTCAGCTGCGTTAGGAGAGGTTCTGCTCCATGCCAGAAGATTCGGTCCAATGCTCCCAACATTACAAAGAGAAAACCTGTCCCTAATGCATTTTATTGCCATTAAAACTGCAGTTTTGCTGACTGATCTTTCCCTACTCTTCTTTCCCCTTTGTGTCTCCACGTGGTAGACGAGTCGGGTTTTACGTCAACACTTTCAAAAACGTTTCCAGCCTCGAGGCCAAGTTTCATAAGGAAATTGCAGTGGTGAGTGATGATGATTATTTTTACTTGCGGAATATAAAATAAATGACTTTTTTTTTCTGAACACGAATGAAATGGCGTGGCATCGTCACCTGTGTGTTTGTTTTTATGGTGCGTTATTACGCCCAGTGGTGTTTCTCCAGTGTTGTGTAGTGACCACATACTTCTCTCTATTTTGTCCAGATTTTATCTTTGGTTGTACCAACCTGCTCTCAGGAATCACGGGCTGTTTCCATTTCTCTTCTGAGATGCTTTTTCTCTGTGTCCCAGGCTCACAGTCTCGTTTTGCTTTGTCAGCTTTGAAAGTTGGCATTCAAGTGGTACTTTTTAGGCTGAGGAGAAATGAGTGTCTGAACACTCAAACAATCAGCAGTTAATGTCTGAGTTCAGCAGGGTTGGTCATATGACTTTATCTCTAATAGAGTCAATGGGAGCAATAAGTTTTCGTTTTCTGTTCTGTCCTCTGATTAATTAATATATTTTGGTTTTTTAAAGGTTTATTTGTGTTTGTGGCCTTTCATTTTTGACATGAGTTTTAAATTTCCCATTCGCCGAATTTAAGTTATCCTGAGACAATCCACACTCCTGTAAGATTCTCAGTAGACAGTTCCTTTCTTGGAGCATTAGCCTGAATTGGCACCAGAATGACTTACAGCTAATAGACAAATGGTCTCTGTCCCTCTAGCTTTGCCACAAATTGTATGAAGTGATGACGAAGCTGGGTGACCAGCACGCTGACAAGGCCTTCACCATTCAAGGAGCTCCCAGGTAGGCCGTCTTCATTGGAGCCAAGTCATGTCCGTTCACCTTAAACACAATGCTTGTTGCAACTTCTGTAGTCTGCACCAGCCTATGCTATTTTACTCATTCTAGAAAAATCTAAAACTAAGGAGCCTTTCCACATAGAGGCTGACAGCAGCCTCGTTCTGTGCTTGTACATTGACCTTTAGCCTTCAGATTTACTCAGTGTGGACGTCTGTCATGGTCACAATAGAATTGGCTATCTGCCTTTCTCCATTTTCCATGGGACCTGTCAGCAGTGGTGTAAACTTTTAACATATAACTTCTAGTTGTGCACCTGTTATTTTCTTTGGAGAAGAAAGGAATTTCCCAAACTCACAACACCGAGTCCTTATACTTATCGTTGGTGCTGGAATCTTTAATGGTCCATTTTGGGAAAGGAAAGAGGGTGTGGGTGAGACCTCACCATCATCCTACGTCTTAACTTGATCTCACAAACACTTCATTGTTTTTTCTTTTTTTTTTTTACTATGTTATGTTAATCACCATACATTGCATCATTAGTTTTTCTTATGTTATGTTAATCACCATACATTACAT